AAAAAAAAAAAAAAAAAATATTTTTTTTTTTTATTAAGAATATATATACTATATTTATTCGTCCTTTACGTCTTAATCAATGTAGATTAGCAGAGAGGGAGAGAGCAAAAGGGACACAAAAAAGTATATATGAATCACCTATTCCTGATACATTAGTACTAAGGAGACACCACCATTACCAGCAGCAGCAAGTGCAGCAGCAGCAAGTGCAGCAGCAAGTGCAGCAGCAAGTGCAGCAGCAAGTGCAGCAGCAAGTGCAGCAGCAACAGGGGGTGGGGGATGAACAGGAACAGATATATGGAGGGAGTGAGGGAAGGACACAACACTATCAGCAACATAAGATGAATTCACAACAGCAGCAACAGCAGCAGCAGCAGCAGCAGCAACAGCAACAGCATAGTGCAGCAGCTAATGCTGCTGCTGCTGTTGGTCGGGGTGTATTAGAGAATATACAACGTCTAAGACAAAGAGGTAGTCTATTACGTCATCGTCATGCTGCAGCAGCAGCAACAACAACAACAACACCAGCAGCAGCAACAGCAGCAGGAGCAACAACAGCAGCAGCACCAACAGCAGCAGGAACAAATGTATCTGCAACAACTGCAGAAAGGGATCGTCGGGATCGTCGGGATCGTCGCCGTTGGGATCTATGGGATCGTTGGGATCGTTGGGATCGTTGGGATCGTTGGGATCGGGATCGTCGGGATCGTGGGGATCGTTGGGATCGTTGGGATCGTGGGGATCGTTGGGATCGTGGGGATCGGGAGAGTATATCTATATATGAAGGAAGAGAGCTAGGGGACTCGTTGCTGCTGCCTAGCAGCAGCACAACAACAGGAGTATACCATTCCTCTGGTTCTTATGATAGTATAAGCGAGGAGACAGCTATAATTAATGATATACAAGTGTCTCCTTATAATATAAATAATAATAATAATATAAATAATAATAATATAAATAATAATAATAATATAAATAATAATAATAATAATAAATATAAATATAAATTAACAAGAAAAGAGAGACAATTTATCCGAGATATTGAGGTGTATAGGCACCTACCTGTTAATTATATAAGTTGTATACGTATAATATATAATTATTTTCTTCTTTTTTTTTCTTCTTATAAAAAAGGAGACAGTCTCCTTCGTGTATTAGATAGTGTCTCCTTTCTTACATATACACAACAATTACGTCTTGTTGCTGCTTCCTTGCTGCAGGATATAATACATATATTACTTATTCTTCTTGGATTTAGTTCCTTCCTTTTTGATCAGCAGCAGCAGCACGTCGAGCAGCAGCAAGTGCAGCAGCAGCAAGTGGTGCAGCAAGAGCAGCAGCAAGAATTTTTTCCTGTTACTCCTTGGCAGCAACTTAGTGATAGAGATAAGGCATTAGGTATATTATGGTTAATATCTGCTGCTGTTTCTTGCTGCTGCTGTGTTGCTGCTGCTCCTCTTATTGATTGTTTATTTGCTGCTGCATGCTATACAACAAGACAATTGTCTCGTCTTCTGGTGTATAGGGAGCTAGGTTATTTTTATTTATCTAATAAGGGTGCAGCAGCAGCAAGCGCAATAGCAGCAGCATCTGCTGCTGCTGCTGCTGCTGCAGCAGGACCAGGACCAGGTGCAGATGCTGCTGCAGCTACTGCTGCAGCTACTGCAGCAGCAGCAACAGCAGGAACAACAGCAGCAAATAATAATCAATTAATTATACTACCTAAGCATGCAATTGCTATTCTTCTTGGTGTCTCCTTTCTTATTAGACCCCTAATTAATATTCTTCTTCTTTCTTTTGTATTTATTCAGTCCCTTTTTGGTAAAAAATACTTTTCTATTAAAAGGGATAAATATATTAAAAGTAAGAAAAAAAAAAAAAAAACCCTAAACCCTAAACCCTAAACCCTAAACCCTAAACCCTAAAAATGTAAACCCTAAACCCTAAAAATCCTAATAATAAAAATAAATAAATAAATAAATAAATAAAATTGTTTGTGTGTATCTGTGTGTGTGTGTGTGTGTATGCATGCATGCATGCATGCAGATAAGGAGAAATATGTATCATTAAGTAATATAATAATATTTTCTTTATGTAGGAAGGGTGCAGCCCCAATAAGCATGCATGCATTATTAATAGGGGAGGATATAATAAAAGGGTTTAGGGTTTGTGGTGGTTTATTAGAGTGTTTATGGTTAGATTTATTATTAGGGTTTACTATTAGGGTTTGGGTAATTTGTATAAGATTAAGTTGGTTATCTTTTGGTGTTTTTTGCATGCATGCATTTTTGGGGCTTTTTTATGTACTTTTTACACAAATTATTCGTGTATTATCCCTAAGAAGACAAGAAGTTAGATCTTTTTTGTCCTTTCTTGTTGCACAAAGACCTGATGATTTACGTATAATAACAGATACAGATAATACAGAAGAAGAGGAAGAAAATAAATATAAATATAATAATTATATACAAACCCTAAACCCTAATTATACACAAACCCTAAACCCTAATTATTCTTTCCTAACCCTAGCTGATTTATATGAATTTTATAAGAGGGATGGATTTATTTCTTCTCCTGGTCTTGTTCTTCCTACTCTTTTTTAATTCATTTATTTATTTATTTATTTATTTATTTATTTATTTATTTATTTATTTATTTTATTTATTTATATTTATTAATTAATATAAATAAACATTATCTTGTCTTATTATCCATGCAAAGAAAAGAAGACAAACAACACACTCTGCATGCATACACTCGAGGAGCCTGCTCGTCGCCGCCGCCGTGCTGCTGCTGCTGCTGCTGCAGTTGCTGCTGCTGCTGCTGCAGTTGCTGCTGCTGCTGCTGCAGCTGCTGCTGCTGCTGCAGCTTTTAATTTTCTTGGCAATATAAACCTTTTTCTTTATTGACGTTAATTATTTATTTTTGTGTATTTTTTATTCCTTTTATTTATATATTATTTATTTTATTTATTTATATGAATATATTATTTATTTATTTATTTATTTATTTATTTATTTATTTATTTATTAATAAATAAATAAATAAAAAGATGTGTATAAATAAAAGTAATTAATTGTTTATTATTTACATGTTTATATTTAGTGTTTGTTTTCTTAATTTAATTAAATATATATAATTAATTAATTAATTAATTAATTAACTAATTAATTATAATTAATAATTAATAATTATAATTATAATTAATAAATATAATTATATTTATATTTATTAATTATAATTATTTATTTATTTATTTTTATGTTTATACCTTAATAAAAAAGGCATTTATTTGTGTCATTTATTTATTTATTTACTTATATAAATTTATTTATTTATCTATTTATTTATTTAAATAAATAAATAAATTTGTATTTATTTATTTATTTATTTATTTATTTATTTAATTTGTTTATTTATTTAAATTTATTTATTTATTTTTCCTTATATAGTTACGAATCGTGCAAAAGAGGAATACAGTAATAAGAAAAAGAGAGGGAAAAAAAAAAGAAATAAATAATTAAATACAATTTAATTTAATTAATAATATTTATTTATTAATATTTCAATTATATTTCGATATTTAATTCCTTTTTTTCTCCATTTGCTGCTGCTGCTGCTGCTGCTGCTGCTGCTGTTGCTGCTGCTGCTGCTGCTCACTTTTTTTTATGCTGTGTGTGTATAACTAGGTGTGTGCGGTGTATGGATCTACGCATGCAAAGGGTATTTTTAGGTCTTTTTTATAGCTTTTTTCTTCTTTTTTTGTTTATTGTATTTATATTTTATTATTAGTTAATTATTTAAACATAAAAACAGCAAAAAAGAGCACAAAAACACCTCTTTTTATGATGACGGGGCTGGTGACTACACTAGACTGTTACAGCAGCAAAAATGTTGCATATACAGCAGCAAATTGTTTTCTTTTTCCTCTTATTTTATTAATTATTTATAAATAAAAATAAATAAATAAATATAAATATAAATTAATATTTATTTATATATCTAACTGTGTATTTATATCTATATATACACCACACACCGACTCCCTCCTTCCTGCTGCTGCTGCTGCTGCTGTTGCTGCTGCTATTGCTGCTGCTGCTGCTGCTGCTTCTTGTAACAAGTAACTAGCAGCAGCAACTCAATTCCTTGCTGCTGCTGCTGCTGCTGCAGATAGATCAATATAAAGAGATGCATGCAGTGCACTCTATAGACTACATATATAAATAAAAAAAAAATATTCTTCTATTAAATAAAAAAAAGAATAAATAAATAAATAAATAAATAAACAATAATAAGCAACGCAGCAACAACTCCTTCTTTCTGCTTCTTTAAGGCCATTGACTGCAGCAGCAGCAGCAGCAACAGCAGCGAGAGCAACAGCAGCAGCAGCGGTAGCATTGTTTGCTGCTGCCTCCATAGATCTGCTTACCGTCATTATCTAATGCATGCATGCATCTCTGCCTCAGTAAATAAAAGCCCCAAATAAAAAGCATTTAGCAGTAGCAAATAGTTGTTTGTTCCTTCCTTATCGGTTAGCTAGCTAGCTAGCTAGCTAGCTAGCTGGCTATCTAACTAGCTAGCCATCTAGCTAGCTGTCTAGCTAACTAGTTAGCTAGCCATTTAGCTAGCTAGTCTAATAGGCAGCTGCTCTCCTAGCTAGCTAGCTAGCTAGCTAGCTAGCTGGATGGGTAGATAGCTAGCTGCATAGTAACGAGGAGACAGAAAGGGAGACAACTGCTGCTGTGTATATAAAAGAAGACAAAAAAGGGGACAAAAGAATTAATTGCTGCTGCTGTTGCTGCTGCTGCTGCTGCAAAAGGGAGAGAATGGAGGATCAGCAGCAGCAGCAGCAAGAGGAGACATTCTCCTCCCTGCTGCTGCAGCAGCAGGAGCAACTGGAAGAGAGAGAACTGCTGCAGCAACTGCAGCAGCAGCAGCAGCAGCAAGGATCCACAGCTGGATCCGCTGCACTTACACCAGCAGCATCACCGCGTCAAGCG